TTCGCTAAATTATTAAGAATGTAAAAGAAAGTTTGTCAATCAATATGAAAGTTATTGTACTTGGCAAGTTAGGAAAGGATTAAAAACATTCCAGCCCAAGATGCTTATTATATGTATTTAATAAATAAATGAGGTGGCGTGATGACTGATGTGTTATTATAACTTATAAAGTATTTAAGACTAAGGTGATTGCTATTAATACTTAACGGGACACCAGAGAGTTATTTTGCTAAAGCATCTACTTTGTTGTTAAATTAATTTGATCCATAAGCTTTAACTTTTGTCAGTGATAACGCTATGTTATTAATTGTAATGAGTTGTATTAAGATCATTCAAATATGAAAATATGGAATTTTAAAAGTAGGGTTTAGTGAAGGAGATTCTTCGCATATGTTGATAATTTTTTGATATAAGGTAATTGCAGCTTATGAATCAGTACAGATTTCAATGTTGGAGTTAGGTGGAGCAGTATAGGTTGCAGCAAGAATAGCAACTATTTCTGCTAATGTTAAAGAGGAAGAGTGTAAAATAAGTGTTACATTAAAGGAGAGCAAAGGCCAATTTTGATTAGCTTGTAACTACGCTATTTCTATTTGGCAGTCAGGAGATCCTAAAGATGTAAGAGAACCATCTGTATAAAATTAGAGAACGTTAGCATTAGTAAATTGTAATTTAAGATAATTTAATTTATTAATGGATGTTTGATCAAAGGGGAGAATATCTAAGTTAGGTAAAGGTTTGGTTGAGTATTGATAAGGAGATGTCAACGTTGATAAGGTAACTTTCCAAAGCATTAGGTGAGAAAGACTACATCACCATCCCTCGCAGGGTTTGTAAAAAATTTTAACTATAGAATAAAATGACTCAGGTAATTTAATAGCACAAAAAATGATGATGTTATTGTTGTTTGTAGGGTATAAAAGCTAAACGGTTGAAAAGATTACATCTAGTACAAGGGCTATGGATGTTTGAAGGCTAGCAGCTTGATTTGGCAAATAATGTTGTGTATGTATGATAGTATCTTCGACTTTGACTACTTTGCCTAATATAAATGTCATATACTGATTAAACCAAATTACAATAAAAGTTGGATTGGTTGCTGATGCATTAAAATCAGTAGGTTGAGTTGGTGCTCTAATGAGTGATTTGTGAAAGAGGCAATTATTGAGTAGGAATCTATTTGAAGCACTAGTTAAAAGCTGCAATTCCAGCTGTTTAAACCATTTAGCACTATGGAAAACTGAGTCATAAATCATATTTAGGTCAAAGGTTATGAATAGGTTAGTACCATCTATAATGGTGAGTTAATTGATGTATAAGATTAAAAGTAATCGCAGTTTCATCACATTTTGCTGATATATCTTGGGAGGAAGGAAATGTATTATTGGGAGTGACCCTCCATTTATTTGCTTTAAGTTGTAATCTTTATCTATACATTGTTGAAATTTAAATCCAATCTGCTTAGCAGCTGAAAGGAATCCTGACTATCAATCTTTAAAAGGCCTAGTATCTATATAAGACCAGTCAGTTAATGGAGACGATGGTAACCATTCCAAAAGTTGTAGTTGTAGAATTCGTAGCCATGAAGTTGAACCAAAAAGTGAAATGTCATTAGTCATTTTTAATATGTCAGATGATTTGGCTTGTATTTGTTTATCATACAAATTTGCTAGATTTTAACCAAAGGTTGAGTGAATAACGGAGACAGATATAAATCTTGAAAGTCCTAATTTCTTTTTGAAGAAAGTTCTGAAGAAAGTCATCAGAGTGTCACAAACTGAATGAGAAACAAACGTAAGTTTTATTTTGTATAGTATACAAGGGATGACGATGGTGTTAAAGATTGCAATCATGTATTTGGTAGTAAGCTTTTTCTTGTTAAGGATGTTCTTTATCTTGGTAAACTCATCAGAAATTTGATTAATAATAAATTGTCTATTGTTAAACAGAGATACCCAGACTCCTAAATATCTAGTGGATTCCTTGTGATGTAATGGTGTGAGCCAAATACTTTTATCATTGAATTTGAAGTTGATGGGAGAAGAATCTCTGTCATTAATCATGAGAACTGACTTATCCCAGTTGACCTGAATGCTGTTAAGGAATCTGCTATACTCATGATATTTAGGAGATCAGTTCTGGAATCTACCAGCTAGAGCATGTCATCCATATATGCTAATGCTAGAACATGATTTGAAAAACTTTGAGTGTTGTACTTTATGATATAAGTTCTCCAGTAGACATGTTATGTATAGCCATATTATGAGTTTTGTATAAAACAAAGAAGCGGGTCATAGTATATACACTATAAGTTAGGAGATATAATTTCACCTTAGTCGATACTTGAGAGCAGTATTATCATAAGATATTGATGGAATACTAATGGAACGCTAATGGGATATAGATGGGACAGATAGGACATTTAGGACATAGTGTGGGACAGGTTAGGACATATAGCTAGGATAACAAATCTCTGGAACATCAAAAATATACATCACTGCCTGAGAAGACTAAATAAGTGTCAGAATTACTGTGCACGATAAATACTTGGTTAAAATAAGAAAGAAAAATTGAAATCAAAAATTTTATAAATGCTTCTGAGATTTGAAGATGACTAAGAGTTCTAATCAACATAGTGATATTAACTCGATCATATGCTTTTGACATATTTTGAAACAAAATCCAAAGGTTGTTGTGATGAAACGAAGCATCGTAATTGACGTTATTGAATATATGTATTAATTTAAAGGTACTTCTGCAAGGTAGACCAGTAAAGTTGTTTCCTTTGAGAATATTATTAGTGAACAGAATGTTTAAAAGTCAACCATTGATTAGCTTTATGAGAGCTTTACATGGACATTCAAGAAGTGTAATAGGCCGTGTGTTTGTTAAATTATATTCTCAGGACTTTGGTTTGGGTATTGAATAAACGAAAACTAGATTCCATCTACTTGATACTAAATTGAGTAACAAACATCTGCAAATGATGATTCAAAAACATTTTGATATAAAGGGGCTGAAATGTTTTAACATTTTGTTGGATATCTTGAATGGTCCAGGAGCTTTTCCTTCAGAAAGCGTCCTAATGATATTGCGTCATTCTTCTTCCGAAGGGGGTTGCATAGAGCTATATATATTGGGATCAATAGATTTGTCTGGTGTATAAACCTGTTTTCAAACCTCTAGAAGAGCTGGGTTAGAATATTGGGAGCCAACCACTTTTTGAAAATGTCTTGCCATTTTTTTTTGAACATTCTTTGGATCCATAAAGAGTTCTTTGTCAAGACTGTTATTATTTATACATCTGTCCAGTGTGATAGTAGTACAGAAATACTCTAATAATGAGTCGAACATAGCTCTTTGATCATCCATCAAGTTAGTACATCGCCGTTCAATAGCATCATTAATAGCTTTTGTTTTGAGTTCTCCTTCATTCAGTTTGGCTGCTGTGGATAGGACTTTACGAAGATCGATTAACAGAGAACGAATTGATTTAATATCTTGTATTAAGGGTTGACTAATATTAGGGACTAATATAGTGTATTCTGATAAAAATGCTTGTATCATTTTATACCAGATGATCCATTTAGGGTCGACAATATTATCTGTGATGCATTTGTTGCTTGATTTACAGAGTTTTTGAACTATTCTAATACGTTTATAAATCAATTTAAGAATACATGATCTAAGATCTCTATTGTGATGTGAAGTGTATTTGTTAGGGATTGTTTTAGTAGTGGTGTCAATGATTAATTTTTGTAAAAAATCCTAATAATAGTTCAGGTGGTGTATTGTATGTATGCTGTCTAACGACACAGAGTTAAGTCTTGTATTTTTTTACATCGTTAGTTGACTGAAATACCAAAAGTAGACCAGTCATTATCAGTCATTTCGTTATATTGATAGACTAATTTTTCAATTGCTACATGTTGAGTGAAAGAGGGTTGATTGATATCAATGAAATAGTTGTATATACGACAGTATGATCTGACAAGTCATTGTCAATTCTTTCTACCACTTGATCGATGAGGTCTAGAACTAAAGAGGAATGCATAAAAATGTGGTTAATCATAGAACGTCCTATACTGGTATTATATGTAATGAGATCGTCAGTTGATTTCTAATTTTTAATGAGATCCAAATTGTTAGTCATGTAGAGATCATTAAGTGAGATAAAGAAGGTTTTTGAATTTGAAAGACTAGAGGTCTGTAATAGATCTGCGTTAAAATCGCTAAGGAATATTGTAAGGAAATCCTTTTGATGTGCATCATTTATCAGATCTAAAGCTTTCTAGTAAGTTTTATCATGTAAATTTTTATCAGAACTAGAAACATAAATGTTAATAATATGGAGTTTGTGTTTGTTTTTAAACCAGAAATCTAATGAGTAAATGCGATGTAAGAAGGAGGAGTGGTAAAAAATATGATCGGCTAGGTGTTTTTTTATGAGAAAGCTGACTCTGAATCCCATATTTTAAGCAGAAAAATCAGTGTTAAAAAAGGGAACAAATTTATCTGAACAAATGGTTTTAAAGAATGTATATGAGATGAGTTTTTGAAATTCGTTTTCTGTAAGGTGATAATCTTTAGATTATAGAGAGAGTAGAAATTAAAAAGGATCTGTTATTTGTGTGGTAAAGTAAAAGAACAAGTATTATGGGTGGCAATATTGAGTGTGAGGGGCACTGTTTTATTATTATATAGTTGTGATATCATAATTATTTAAAGAAAAGGTTTAAGGCAAGGACCTCTGTACCATCCTCTAAAGTGGCGACAGCACTGAATGAGTTGAGTTTAGGGATCAGGATTATGTAGGCAGGATGGGTATTGTCTAAAACTATGTGTTAGATATTAACAATAGCTTTGAGGGTAACATTGAGCTTTTTTACCGTGATTTTATTGTATTTGCGTAATTCTTCAGTTTCTGCATGAAGGATTATGATGTGTTTTTCTTGTTCGATGACTCAAGAGTCTGATATGTTGACTTCTGGTTCATATACAGTGTCTGTTTTCATCGCGCCTTCTGCTTTAACCACTTCATTGAGTTCAGCAGCTTTTTTGGATATGATCGTAAAAATATTTAGGTACTTTTCCACTTCATCAAGATGATATATCGATAAAGCAAGATCATTGTGCAATGTAGCTAACATCGCTGTAATCGCATCTAGTTTGTTTAGAATTTTTTGAGTATTTGTCAATTCAGTTGCAAGGGTTCTTGTAGATCTATATAGTGCATCTTTCTTATTCATTTGATCTGACCATGATTTCCATGCATGTATAGATTTATCAAGAGAAATAGGTTTGGGAACATCAGTATTATTAGTTGGCTTTTGAGAGTTATTTTCAGGGTTTTTGGTATTTTTGATCCTATTAATAAATAATTGTGAGTTTTTAAGGTCAAACATTAAATCTTTATCTTATATGAAAGTAACTTTGGGCTGTGACGCAGGAGTAGAGTAGTTTTTGAATTGCACAGGTTTGAAATGTTGGTAGAGGTTCTGTATTTGTTTGTCTTTCAGGCTGAGACGTTTGCATCTGCAGTTACGTGAATCATATCTGGGGATTGAACAATAAGCACAAAGGTTAGTGTCAGACGCAGTCCAGATGAGTTTTCTATTATCAAGTTTAATAGGATCGCCATTTTTTGCCGCTTCAAGGTCTTTTTTATTATGAAAATGCATGAATGCATATTGTAGATTTCTATAATTAGATCTGGTTTTAGGAATTACCTAGGTAATGGTGTTAACAGTCTTTCCAATAGATTCTAGTTCTCTTCCTGAAGTATCTTTGGAGAGGTTCGTAAGTTTTAGTGTAAATTAGGAATGTGCTTTAATTTCGTCAGGTGTTAGAGAACAGTTGTGAATTCTGATCATATCTTTAATACGAAAAGGCTAGCATGAGAATTAAAGAATAATAAATCTGTCTTGGGTGCGTATGAAATGGTGGCCTGCTGCCAAAGATTTTTTGTCAACATTGAGCATTTAAAGATCGTCTCAAATCGGGTAAATGTTGATCTGATGATCTATTCAGACGTGGAGATCAGAATTTCTGTGATTTTGATCGATAAACTCAGATCGAACCTAAAAGGGGTAGGTGCGACAAAGGGTTTAAACGAGATAGATTTCATAGAAATTTTTACGGCCATAACATAGTCTGCGTTAGCTTGTGCTGTAAATCATAAACGAACCATTTCAATGTTTTATTTTCCAGATCTTGTTTGATTGATGCATCAATAAACGATGGGAAAGCTGTGCCATTAAATAGTTCGCAGGCTTTGTTGATTTTTTCTCAAAAGGATTTGTTAGGGAGAAAAGTTTCAGCAGTGCAGTAGATATAGAAAGTAGTTGTATTTCAGACTCTTTCAAAAGTGATGGTATTTTTGCTAACATCTTTGTTGTTTAACAAGTTTTCAGAAGCGTTGAAGACCTGGTCTTTGTTCATAATGTTGTCAGCATCAGGGGCTGTCGTTTCACTATCCTTTAGTTTCTGGATAAGTAAGATATTTATAGTGGAAGTTTCTTGTGGATATTCAGGAAACCACTGGCCTTTACCATATACAAAAGATTGTTTAGCTTCGGTTAGGACTGCAGAGACTTGTTAGTCAATACTCATGTTACCAGCTAAAAAAATAGTGGTTGAGTTTACAGTTTTTGAGAAACCCGCTAGAGTTTCATTTATTTGGTTGAACCTGTCAGTTATAGTTTTCTTTTGTGAGGGTTTTTCTTTATTTTTTATAGGTGAGTCAGAACGAGTTCGCAAGTTGCAATTATTATTTTGTGAAAATTATTAGTTTTTTTCTTTTTCTATTTTTTTGGTTTTGAAGAGAAAAAGGAAAAGTTTTTTTTTAATTCAATCCTAGAGATTATGTAGATAAATCACATTACTTAAATTTAATACAACCGCTTATATATGACGAATGAATTGTTATCCTTTAATTACTTCCTAATAATAAAGCTGCTGGTCTTTCAGAAATTTCTAATGAAATGCTTTATTATCTAGGTGATAAACTTCAACAACTACTCTGGAAACTCATTTGTATGTATTTCACCTTAAGTGATATTCCAAATGAATAGAAAATTGCCAATATCTACTCTATCCCAAAACCCATAAATTGAAAATGTGACATAACAAAGATCAGACCCATTACCTTATTAGAAACTTGTCAAAAAGGCTTTATCAAGATTATCACCAACAGACTCTTTACAATACTTGCCAAACACAACATATTATGAGGTGAAAATTTGCTGGTCTATCTGTGGATCAACTGAAGCATCTATCAAAATTATTAATATATTGCTTGAAGATGCAATTGAAAACAAAAAAGAAATTTGAATTTTACTTCAAGATCTCTCTAAAGTCTATAATAGAGTAGACTTAAAGTTTCTTCATCTAACCTTCAACTGCATCAGAGTCTCACAACCCACTATTGATCTTTTGATTAATCTTTTCACTGCAAAAAAAAATGCGGTCTTTACAGCATATGAAACTTCAGATTACTATGACGTAAAAATCAGTATTGATCAAGAAGAAGTTATATCACCTTTACTTTAGTGCATTTATTTAAATCCTTTCCTTTGTAAAGTTGCTTCGCTAAACAAAGGATATACTATCAATCATACTTAGACCTCTGACTTAACTACCATGGTTACCAGTTTTCTATCTACTAGTGTTTCTTCACTTGTTTTTATGGATGATACTAACTAGATTGCCAGCTCAAAACAAGATTTGGAATCTATTCTTGAAGTTGCTGAAGAATTCTATGATCTCACTAAATTAGCACTTAATAAAGATAAATCTAAACTATTGATGACTAAATCTTCAAATACCACAACAATTTCTCTCAGATTTGGTTCATTCATAATCAATATTGAACCAGAAACTGGATCTGTATGCTTTTTTAGAGTCTGGATCAATAGCAAACGCACACTAACTTTTATCAAAAAATAACTTACCTTCAATATTAATTGTTTTGTTTCTCTGATACATTACAAATCCTAACAGATAAACAGATTTCTTACATAATAAACATGGTGCTTTGCCTACTATTAAAATATCATATGCAACTAATACCTATCTACTAGTGTTTCTTCACTTGTTTTTATGGATGATACTAACTAGATTTTCAGCTCAAAACAAGATTTGGAATCTATTTTTGAAGTTGCTGAAGAATTCTATGATCTCACTAAATTAGCACTTAATAAAGACAAATCTAAACTATTGATGACTAAATCTTCAAATACCACAACAATTCCTCTCAGATTTGGTTCATTCACAATCAATATTGAACCAGAAACTGGATCTGTATGCTTTTTTAGAGTCTGGATCAATAGCAAACGCACACTAACTTTTATCAAAAAATAACTTACCTTCAATATTAATTGTTTTGTTTCTCTGATACGTTACAAACCCTAACAGATAAACAGATTTCTTACATAATAAACATAGTGCTTTGCCTACTATTAAAATATCGTATACAACTAACATCTTTATCACAATAAAAATGTCTTTCTCTTTTTGCATCTGTTCATTCTTTATTCAAGAAAAAAAACAAATTTACTTCTACTCTCCCTAATATTTTTTTGAACTTCAAATAATTCTACAATTTGAATGATCTTTGATTATTACAAATTAAATCTCTCTCTACCACCCTTCTATACCAATTCACTAATTCTACCGCTTATAAGAATGTCTTTATCATAAGACTTTTTCAACTCCAATCTCAACATTTTTTTGCCACCTCTCCCCTTGATTTTTAGTCTCGCCCATTTGATAGACTTTCTTATAAAAATCTAATTAGCATTTCCTTTACACTTATCAAGTTTATTTCCTCTAAACTTTCACTCATTGCTTCTTCTCTTCTTACTAATTAAATCAAAGGAGAAACTCACCCTATCGCAAAACTTTTTCCTTATAAAATTTACGTTTTTTTTAAAAAAATCTTGACTAATCACAACTTATTTTATTTAGATCAATTAATTTCTACTTCAGGCTACCAGCTGATTACAATAGCTGACTTTCTCTTTAGAAACTTTAATTATCACTTTAAATACTTTGGATCACACTCTCTTTTCAAGAAATTAGCAGACATTGTTTTAGAAAATAATGTTTAGTGACTCCTTAAATCAGAATTTAGATTAGTTTCTTTTCTACTCTAATATAGATTCATAGTTAATTTACCTCTTTTGAATAACCATAAAAAGGAATTTATTGCTTTATAGAATCCAACAATCAACAACCCTTCATTTAGTCAAATTATCAACAAAAATCTGATTGATAATCAATTTGTTTGTTAACATTATGTATGCTCTACAAACAATGATAATATTAGCTAACCCTTTAAATGTACTGGATGCAACCTTTTCTCTGTCAACGTTCGTTTTAGTACATGTACATTTGCAATTTCTGCAAACAGAGTTTTTCAAGTTGATTTAGTCCCTAAGCAATCTTACACCCTAAAAATCAACTAAAATAGTTGCCTGATGAAATCTCAAGGGTGGCCTACCTCTCTTGTTTCGCCTTTTATTTTAAATGACAACTCCTTATCTCTCCATCAACTAATATATTTGACATTATGTTTTTTTCTTCTTCAACTTTAACTAAGCTCAAATCCTTACAAACAACACTTGCTGATAACGCATCCTTAACATTTTACACTGATGGTTTTTTAATCTCTCCAAAAACAGAATCATGCAAAATGGGTTTAGGATAGATTTGTATTGATTTCTCTAATAAACATCACTCATTCAAGGCTTTATTGACAAACTGGCCTTCATCAATATGTACTGAAATGTATACCCTTTTCACTGTTCTGTTAGTATCCTCATACTCTTCTTCTGTCAATATTTTCTCAAATAATTAGGCCACAATCCAAGGGTTTTCCAAATATATTTCAAATAATGATCTTTCTTTCAGAAAATTTGAAAAGATACCCAACCACTCTATCTGACACCTTATAAACATATAGTGAATATATTGAAACTTAATATACATTTTCACAAAGTAAAAACACATACTAGTGATTACTTTAATGATATAGCTGATTAATTGACCAAAGCTAGATATAATGCTCATCCCCTTATCCCAATATTAAACAACATTTCCTTATCTGACCTTATCTTTACTTTCAATAATGTACCAGTTGAAATATCTATTCAGAGTTTCTTCAAATAACTATTTTTTGCTAAAACTTTCTGCAACTTTCTTAATCTGAATAGAAATTATCATATCAGACGTCTTACTAGCAATTACTCTATCAATTGGTCTAACATTTGATCTCTATTATCACGAAATTAAATAAATGTGGATTAACGTATCAATTAACGTTGTTATTAATTAGGCATCGATCAATGTAAAATAAAGTTGTTCTACTAATATTACGCAAATCAATGTGATTAATGTTAACCCAGATTAATGTAATCATGTGACTGATCATGTAATGGAATAACGCGTCAATCAATTTATATTTTTTATATTTCAAACCATTTAATAATAAACAATAATATATAGTTTTATAATATGAAATAAACGTCTTTTTTATTATTAATACTTGCTAGTTGCTATAATATTGTTTATTATAAATTAAAATATTAATTACATTTAAAACGAATAATTTCACTATCACCATCACCATCAGTATTTTCAGCATTGATTTTTTTTAAATAATCTTCCATTCCGTTTTTACTATTATAATCTTCATTTTCAGCATTATTTAAATTAATTTCTTGGTTGTCAGAAAAGTGTGTATCGTGTTTGTTATTACTATTAACATAATTAGTCATATCGTTATTATTTTCTAAAGGTTCTTTACCTTGAAGCTAATTTAAAATATACACAAATTAGTGCTATTTATTTTCTTTTATAATCGACTGAAAAATATCAAGTTAATTAATAAAAACTTATCCATCTTTGTACAATTAGATTAGAATCCCATTTGTCCATTCGTTTCTGAACTTTTGAAGACACAATTTTGACTTGATCATATGTTGGATCTAAAAACATTAATGCTATTATAATACCAAACTTGATGTTGTTTTCGTTTTGTAATTCTTCTTTAC